AGTACTGCATTTGAGGAACAGTAAGGAGGCCAGTTTCACTGGATCACATGTATATGAAAGGAAGTAAGTTATAAGAAGACTGGAAAGGTAGGAAGGGACTAGGTTATAAAGGGCCCTGAAAGCCAAACAGAGGATTTTATATTTGATCATAGAGACAGTAGGGAGGTGGTGGAGTTTATTGAATGATGGAGGAAGAGGATACCGTCAGACCAGTTTGACAGCTGAGTGAAGGATAGATTAGAGTAGGGAGAGACTTGAGGCAAGAAAACCCACTGGCAGGCTATTGCAATAGTCCAGGTATGAAATGAGAAGAGCCTGCTCTAGAATGGTGATAGTGTCAGAGAAGAGGGCATATACAAAGGATGTTACAAAGGTGGAAAAAACAGGACTTGACCATTGATTGCAAGTGGGGGATGAAAGTGAGGAGAATCCAGGATGACATCTAGGCTAGGAGTCTACGTAATTGGGAAGATGGTAGTACCCTCAACAGTAAAAGGGGAGGTCAGGAAAAGGGAAGCGTTTTGAGGAAAGATAATGAGTTCAGTTTTGAACATATTGAGTTTAAGATGTCTACATAACAGCCAGTTTGAGAGATCTAAAAGGCAGTTGGAGATGCAAGATTAGAGACTGGAAGAAAGATTAGGGCTGGATAAGTAGATTTGAGAATCATCTGTACAGAAATTACTTAATCCATGGGAGCTGATTAGATCATCAAGTGAAACTGTTGTTCGTCCTTTGTTTTTGAAGAAGGCCAATCATGGGTAATGCCTTGACTGTGTGCGAATTGGATTAAAGTGAGGCAAAGTTGCACAAAGTCATCAACCTCATTCTCTCTTCCTAAGTCATCAAGTCTAGTGGCAGGACAAAAGTCAAGACTGGTGATGGCCCAAGATGCAGTGGATGGCCTTGGCATCTCTAATATCTGACCAAGCTTTAAGCATTCTACAGTCCTTGCTTCACCCTCCTTCCTGGCTGTTGTTCTCATTTCACTTGGGAAAGTGTTCACATGCTTGGGGTAGATGTCCCTCTAAACTCATCAACAAGTTTGAGGCCTGTCAATTACCCTCAACCTGAGTTAGCCCATTTGAAGAGATGGTTTACTGGAGTGTGGCCACTATGCATTCTATAGCTTCTTGGAGCCACAGGTGAGAGTTGGGTGAATCAGACAGACACCAAAGGTGGATAAGCAGCCCCAAAAAAGGCTTGGCATGCCCTCAATATCAGAGGTGTTAATCCTCCTGAACACCCCATACACCTCACCAAGTGAAATAGTATACAGAGGCTGAAGAGAAGAGGACCCAGGACAGAATCTTGGGGGACCCTCACGGTTATCAGGTGTTATTTGGATGAAAATCTAGCAAGAGAGGCTGAAAAGGAATGGACAGATAGGTAGGAAAACCAGGAGAGACCAAGATCATGAAAACCTAGAGAGAAGAGAGTATCAAAGAGAAGAGGGTGATTTAACAGTGTCAAAGATTGCAGAGAAGTCAAGAAGGATAAGGAATGAGAAAAGGCCTTTAGATTTGGCAATTAAGAGATTGTTAGTATTTGGAGAGAGCAGTTTCATTTGAATGATGAGACTGGAAGCCAGACTGCAAAGCATTAAGAAAAGAGTGAGAGGAAGGAAGGCGAGGCACCTATTGTAGAAGCCTTCTCAAGGAGTTTAGCCATAAAAGGGTCTACTTCTACATGCAGAGGGATTTGCCTTGGCAAGGAGAAATGCCACCTCTTCATTCAAAAAAGGGGTAAGGAAGAAGACAGTGGCAGAAGGCATCAGAGTAACAACAAAACAAAGAACCAGGGAGAAAAGGGAGTTTTCTGTGAATGGTGTCAATTTTTTCAGTGAAGTATGAGGCAAGGTTCTCAACTGAGAGGGTAGTGAGAGGGGAAACTGTTGGGTGCTTGAGGAGGGGTGAAAAGGCTTAGAAAAGCTGGGGTAAATGGGATAGTGAATCAGTTAAGGAGATATAAAAGGATTGTCTTGCCATAGTGAGGGCCCAGTTGAGATTATAGAACAAAATTTTATTAGACCCACTCAGCAGAGTTTCATGATTTTCTCCAGCTTAACTGAGCAGTAAGTGAGTGAAGGCAGGAAATGATGGGAGTAATACAAGGCTGAGTTTTGGAAGGGCAAGATATTCTTAGTATAAAGGAGCTAGAGACTTGAGACTAGTGTAGAGTTAATCTGGGTCACCAGGGGGTCAAAGGAAGGAAAAAAAATCTATGTATGTATATATACACACACATACATACATATATATATATACACACACACACACACTAGCTGTATGACTCTGGGCAAATTTCTTAACTTCTGTAACATGGACACAATGCCTACTTTTTTTTTTTGCTTTTAGGCAATTGGGGTTAAGTGACTTGCCCAGGGTCACACAGCTAGTAAGTGTCAAGTGTTTGGTCTGAGGCCGGATTTGAACTCAGGTTGTCCTGACTTCAGGGCCGGTGCTCTATCCACTTCGCCACCTAGCTGCCCCACAATGCCTATTTCAAAAGGTTGTGGTAAGGACAAAATGAAAGAACATAGGTAGACTGCTTTTGAGAACCTTAAACTGTTACACAAATGCTAGATATTATTTCTATCATAGAATTCTAGGGAGTTCGAAGGACCTTTGAGGTCATCAAATCAACCCCCTAAAACAGTATTTTGTAATCATTACATTGCGGAAAGTTAAAAACCGAGTTCTTCCATTGTACACAGTAACAACATTGTGCGATGGCCAACTTTGATAGACTTACCTCTTCTCAGCAATGCAATGATCTAAGACAGGTTCCCAAAGTTATTTGGCCTATTGTTCCCTTTTAAAGAAAATTTATTCAGCATCTCCTCCTCCCCCACCCCCACCCCGTCCCAGAAATCTACTTTTTAACCCTTTAAACAGTTTTTAAAAATCTACAACAGTTCAAAAAACATATAAAATATATATTTTAAATGATACATCTTAAATTTAACAATTTATTGTAAATTTGTGGGTTTTTTCCTGCTTTGAAATTTTGATAACACCATATTGCATCATGTAACCTTATAGTATCGTATTATAAATGAATCATTACATGCACATATTCCTGCCAGTGTGTGCTGGACTTCCCCACAATGTGTGCTACATGCCACCTGCCAACACTTGCTTGTTAAGACTTGTCAGTGGACTTGACCACTGATGGGTTATAACTTGCATTTAATATGTTTATTTTGGAAAATAATGTAATCACTATGACTTTAACTCTGTTACACAACAGATAAAACATGTATGTTTTTTCAAAATTTTCTTATCTTCTCTCCTTTCCTTATGCTTCCACTGCTCCCTTATTTTTATTTAAAGCACCTCAATTGTACCCAAGGCTACTACTGCCCACCCTGGATCAGTCCAGTGCCCCCCAGGGGGTAGTATCACCACTTTGGGAACTGAGGAGAGACAATTCCAAGGGACTTATGATGGAAAATGCTGTCCACATTCAGGGAAAGAACCATGAAGTCTGAATGCAGATTGAAGATTCTATTCTCTTTCTCTTTCTCCCATGGTTTTCCCCTTTTGTTCTGATTCTTCTTTCATGATTAATGTAGAAATATGTTTACTATGAGTGTACATATATAGCCTATATCAGATTGCATGCCATCTTGTGTAGGGGGGAGGGAAGGGAGGGAGAAAAAGAATTGGAACGTAAGATCTTGTAAAAGTGAATGTTGAAAACTATCTTTGCATATAATTGGAAAAAATAAAATACTATTAGTGGAAAAAATAAAACTAGTTCTTCTGCTACATGTGACTGGTGGTGATCTCAATAAATAAAAAATAATCTTTCCTAGTCTAGCTAGAAAATTCATTTTGAGGGACACAGTATATAGCAGTTTGATGAATCATGTATATGAATTGTCTTTGATGAAAGCTTATACACAAATCTAAGGGAAACTTGGTACCCTTATTTGCAAAACATCCACCTATAACCATCTCCTATTGTACAGAAGTTGATAAAAGTATTCTTAATGTTTTTGGATCCCTAAAGTTTTTCACTTCTCTACTATTGCTTCATTTATAACAGAGACTTAGAATTTTTAAAGCACTTGCACATAGATTGCTCATCTGATCCAATAAAAACCACGAGGTAGGCTGAATATGGATTATTATCTCTAATTACAAATGAGGATTCAAATTTAGGTCTAGTCCTCTTTTCAAAAATAATGGGACTGATCTCTTGACCCATAGTCTCCCCTTAAACTCTCCCCACTTGAAAAAATAATTTTATGAGGTAAAATTGAAAATTAGATTGTTTCCTCAAAAAAGCCTTACTTTCAATCACATAAGATTCCAAATAGAAGAAAATGGCTAAGTATTTTAGCAATTTAATCAAGTTGAAAAAGTAACAAAAGAGCCCACAAAAAGGGGCCAATATGATCAGCAAACTAATCCATTGTTCTGTAATTTATGTGGAATTCCCGATAAAACTTTCAGAGTTTGCCAATATCTCCTATGATTAAAGACAGTAAGCCAAAATGGGGTCTTCCATCTTTGCTTTATAATAGAGGAGCAGTTACAGGAATAGAATTTGTCCATTAACCAAATAAATGGTTTCTATAAATCACTATATTAGTTGCTGAGTTAAAGGCTATTTCTCTACCATGCAAATTAAACCAACGGGGCTGCCAAAAATTGATTTGTTCAATTGATTTCTTTAACTGTGCCAAATTCACTCTTTCCAGCTTTTGCTCAAAATGATAGTAGTTGATAGAATCAAATCACTTTCACCCCATTTTATTTAACTGCTTGTATACTTGTAAATGGTATGTGTTGGGTAGAGTCTTGGTTGACAGAGTATATGAACCCCATCTCTCTCCACTTATTCCATGTATACCATTTTGGTTTATAACTTGCAGTAGGCTTTTGCAGAGTCCTTGAAATAGCCAAAGGCCCCTTGGAGAGAACCTAAAGGCTCAAAGCAAGTAGCTGTTTAGAGGCCTGCTAGTCATTCGTAAGAAGTTTTGGCAGCTCTTAGACCCCAACAGCGGTTAAGGCTATCTCATGGATGGTTCCCAAAGGCTCCAGGATGACCTAGAAGCATCCAGAGTATGTCCAGTCTTCTCAATTGTTATCAAATATTTCCTAAAAAACTATAAGGAAACCTGGTTGGAGGCAAGTAATGGCTCCTCAGAAAAAATTATAGCACTATAAGAGTAATTTAGGTCATAATGCCTATATAAGAATATGGATTGGCTTTTTTTTTTGTAAAAATAATTCCAGTCAGGTACCTACATTTGTGTAGATTTGACCACCTGAATGATCATTCACTTAACGCCAGTGGCATTGATTTGTTATTATATAACCACTTTGCATGAAAATATAAGAGTTCATGTCCTTAAGAGTGATTCATGTAACACTGGAGTATTAAAAGTCAAAATGATATCCACAGGAAAATCTAAGTCTTGGTTCAGGTCTGGTTTTGAAATGCAAGTGATTTGCACATAGTTAAGTGCTTAATAAACACTTTTTCATTTATCCATTCTTGTTATACCAACTCAGCAATGAAAATTCTTTTAAAACTTTAGGGCCTTCATTTAGGCTGAAAATTTTGGAGAAATTGATATTTCTATGTCTACAGTAATGAAAAAAGAATATAAGCTTCAAGAATTTTGCATCAATCATATATGCTTTTGAAATGTGATCCTACCTTTTGGAGGTACTTTTGTTTTTCCTCAGCTTCCTGAGCCTTTCTGTTTTTTTCAAGGAGCTGTTCAGTTTCTAAACAAAACAGTTAAACTCAAAATATAATATTCTGAAATTTCCATGAAAAATAAAAACAATTTACATATGAAAAAGAAATGGCATGTGGATTAGGAGAAGGCAAAACAATAACATAGTAGTGATATACTGCACTGTGCCCTGGTACTTTATAAACTCAAATTTTATTTTTTAATTGTAGAACAAACATGATATCCATGGCTTCAATAAACCTCAAATGAATCCAAAAAACAAGTAGGTCTGATTCCAGAGATCTAGAAAACTTTTCTGAAAAAAAAATACCTCCAACTTTTTTGTTTCTGGGGTTTTATTGAGAAAACTGACAACCACCTCTTGAATAGAGGAAATACCAGGCCCTGAACCAAATATTGACATATTTGAGGTTCACAACCTTCCCCCTACCTCTCTCCATTGTTTGCTACTCAAATACAGGGTTTAAAACACCGAAGATTATGAGAGCTGATACTTACTATAATCCACAGTGTTGAAACTTCTTTCTGCAAAAGATAAAATGAATAAATTAATCATTTTAGGAATAATCTTAAGTGCTAAGCATCTCAGTGTCTGCTAACAACCAAACAGGTCCATTTACTTTACAGACATGTCAGTGACCTCTAGCTATGAAAAATTTAGGATCTAGTCCCAACTATCATCCACTTGCTTTATCACTTGAAATGTTCCTTCCTCTTGACTTAACTTCCCCAGAGATTTCGTTTGTGAGAAAAACATTATACCTGATGACTCTTACCTATAAAACAATACAGGGCAGTTAAAAAATTTTTTTAAAATGTCCCGACAGTAAAACTGAGGTCTGAAGACCTATAGGGTGGGTGCATCCCTGACCCTTCCTCTTTCCAGAATTATGGTGAATTTTGAGATGAGATGTAACTGTTTTAATCCTTCAGTAAGAAATATGCTACAGGAAGTTGCTGATTTAAAAAAGCTCCAAAGTTATTCCTGAAAGATACGGGGGTGAATGACATATTACTGGATAGGTTTCGGGGATCAAGGAGTTATCACCTCCTGCCACTACTTACCAGCCACAGTGGGCCCAGTAGCTCGAGCTATGGGCAATCGCTGTTCTGTGCTGTTTGACACTAACCGTGACTCAGGATGCGGATACATGGTCGCCGAAACCCAGAACTGTTTGGCTAAAGCCACATCCTCTTCTGAGGAGCCGGTAAACACCAAAGGTCCAGGGTATACACTTTCAAGCGGCTCTTCTGGGCCAGTCTTTCTGCCCCAGTGTCCTGTCTCCATGGCAGCTCAGGACGCTTCTTCCTACATAAACTCTAGACCACAAGTCTCACAGCTTGACCGTGGGCCCGCCCCTACTTTGGTCCCACCCTCTATAAACAGGCAAAGTTGGGTCCGCCTAGGATCCACCTACCTAGGGCCTCCTCGGGAGGCATACCAGAAGTCTGCGGGGGTGGGGGAGGTCAGAGCAGAGGTTGTAACGGTTCTACACTCCTAGCACTGAAGCGATCCTAGGAGCAGTGAGGATTTGGAGATTCCGGACACTTGCTCTGAGGGTGGGGGCTAGGGTATCAGGCTGTTTAGAGCAAGCACACCATAAGAGGGAAATTAGCGCAGCTACAGGTCTGATCTGGTTCTACAGTTATGGTCTAAAAAATATTTCAAATTCAGAACAAATTAATTTGGGCAATTAATGTGCCTGATTAGAATCTAATATTGGGTTATCAATTTAGTGTAGAACAGCTATGAATGAGTACCAAAAAAGAAAATACTAAGTATTGAACATAGCTAAGAATAAAAATTAGATATAGCTCCTGATATTGATAAAGATTTAGCAAGTGTGTGCAAATTAATTTTATTGGGGAACTATTTCTTAATATTCCGTAAATAATTAAGAACAGCTAGTTTCTTTATTAACTTTATTCAGGAATGTTTCATATTTTGACATTAGAACTATAACAACATTACTATAGCAGGAATTGTGACATTCATATATAGCAACAATTCTAACTTCTATTGGCATGCTGGCTTTCATATACACTTTTGTAAAGGAAGTTTGTTCAATCTGATATACACAAATCACATATGTCACGATAATGTTAAGGAAACATCTTATTCATGTGGGTGTGCTTAGGAAATTGGTTAGTTTTGAATTTAATTTCTTAAAATGGGTCTTTCATGCTTGTATATTTAAAAACAAAATGAAACCTTTTAGACTAAGCTGCTGAAATTACCCATTTGCTTTATCTTTTCAAAAAAGTGCTATAGTTCCTTGACCAATTCTATTACAAATTTTTCGTGAAGGGGGAGGTGCTGCTTTTGTACATTGTTTCTTCTTTGGCCTCCAAAACACATTTAGATATCTGGATTGGATGAATTACAAATCTATTTACTTGGCTGTGTGGTTAGTGATTGGTACAACTACTAGCAATCAGCTAACTACACTGCCTAGTAACTAGACTCAATTTCCCCCCTCAATTCTAACTTCTAAAAGTGGTACCTTCACATTAAATTTATGAAGTACGTTTGTTTTTGATTAAATTTTAGGTCCAAGTCCTTGTAGGTCATCTATTGGCTGAATTGACCAGTAGTCTGCTAGAAAGTCTGAAAATGTGCCAGTTCCAATATTACATACACTATGCAAATATGATTAATAGTTCATCTTCAAGCAGTTCAAAGGTAATGGAGTTCTCTTTTACCCTTATCATTAAATCTCCCCCCACAATCTATTTTATATTTTAGCTAAATGTGGCAGATCCTATGGTTTTTACACTTACAAAAATTGCATGAAGTTACATCTCATTCATTTTACAATTTAACTCAATTTCCAGTTTACTTTGGCCGATTGCCAAACTGTCCTTCTCTTAATATGCGGCACGCATACTGCTGGATAAATTCCAACAAATCACATCTCTGAGCACAATTTTCTCCTCAAGCAATTCAAGTCAGGTGCAGGAAACCTAGCCCTTCGGAAGGAATCGCCACTGCCGCCGTCTCCACCATCGTGACCTGCCAAGTGAACCCACTTACTCCTTCTTCTCAGGCGTTTGGCAGCCGGTGATGCTGTGCCTTGTTTTGATGGCAGTGGAGTTAGTGATTGTAGGCAGTAGAATACAATCAGCTAACTACACTGCCTACAAACCGAGCACTGGACACGCCGCTGGTGTGGGAGTGGGGGAGGGGTGCCCCTGGAGGGCTGGGCTCCTCCAAGCCTTCCACAAGCAGGTCACCTGAGGTCTGTCGGTCAGTCAGTCTTCCCCTTTGGCTTCAAGCGAGCCGCTCTCTCCCAGCCAGACTCGAGGCCCGAGGTTCGTCGGTGCGGCCCCTTCCCCAGACGGGCCCCGGGCTACACTGGCCACCAGCCCGGCCAGGGCCGGCCCTTTGTATACACCTTGTAGTCATGGACACCCGGGCGCAGTCGGAGGAGGGGAGTGCGTGGGTCTCAGGACCCGGCCCCCCACCCCCACCCCTGCGTCCCACAAGACCGGCGTGGCCCGTTTCCCCGGACGACCTCGACCGAGTTGCCGCTGGCCCGTCGGCCTAGCCAGCCCCCCCCTCCCCGCTCCTCCCACGGGCTCCCGGGGCCGGCTCCCCTCTGCCCTCCCCCCCTGCTCCTCCTCAGGCCCGGCCCTTGTTCCTTCTTAGGCTCCCCGCCTCTGCCCTCCCCTAGTTCCTCAGGGCCACTTCCCCGCCCCCGCCCCTGCTCCCCTCTAACCTCCCCCTGACACTCCCCACACCCCCAGGCTCCTGGCTACCTTCAGTCCTCCTCTAGTTTCTGCCCCTTCCCTCAGGCTTTTGGCCCGCAGCCCTTTCAGCCCTTCCCCCCAGCCCCAGCCCCTGCCCCCTCAGGCCTTCGGGCCCTGTTCTCCCATGTCCCCCTCTTTTCCTCCCCAGGCCCCCACAGCTCTGCCTCTCTCCTGGGGCTTCCATCCCCCTCTGCCCTTTCCTCTCTCTCTCTCCCGGGGGCCTCTCCTTCTCCTCAGGGGGTCCGTTTTTCCTACTTTTCTCAGCGCCCCTCCACCCTTCTCCCCCAGTCCAGTCCCAGCCGCTCCCCTCAGCTGCCGGCTACGGCTCGAGGGCACGGCTTCGTAGTCCAACCGCCATTCGAACCTGGCGCGCGACGGGGGCGGGGCAGGCACGCGCTGGAGTGGGGGCGGGGCGAGGCAAGGAGAGGGGGCGGGGCGGGGGCGGGGCACCCAGAGGCATTAAAAGGAATGGGGCGGGTGGGGGGAGGGGCAGAGCGCTCCACAGGGCCCTGGGCGGGAAGCGGCGCCGTGGGGGCGGGGGAGCGCGGAGCACCGAGCCTGTCAGGGGGAATCCCAGCTGTTCCCGCATCTCCTTTCACACCCCTCCCCCAACTGTCCCGATACAGCTCGAGAGGCCAAGGTTTCTCCTCCCTCCTGGAAATGAAGCCCTGAGGCTCCTCCATTCCCCAGCTCAGGGAGATAGTTTTCCAGTTACCTCCGGATGGGGTGGATCTCCTTAGGTTTCCTCAAGTTTTTCCTCAGGTTTCCCTGCGGGGACAGGCCTGCGAGTGACTGACACGGAGACAGGGAAAAACTGGGCCTTTTCTTACCAGGAGGCTTGTCCTATGGAAAGATCCCCTGCTTCTCCCTGCCAGAGGACTTGGCTTCAGTTACTAAGAGGAGGCCAGGCCAGGAGGAAGAATGCTGGACCCAAAGATCGCAGGATCTGGAGCTGGCAGGGAGGATCCTAGTGGTTATGATAGGAGCCTAGATTTAAAGATGGAGAGGACCTGGAAGGCCACCTGCTACGACCCCACATTTACAGATGAGGAAACTGAGGACCAGGCAGGGTAAAGCCACTTACCCAGGTTCCCCTAGGCGTGTGGCAGAGCTTCCACCACTCAGAGCCCTGGTCTTCTGTTTCCAGGCCTGCCCCGGGCTACCTTGTGGTCTAACCCACCCCCCTCATTTTATACATAAGGAGACACTCCTGGGATATTGTGACCTGCTTCCGACTTATGAAGCAACAGAACTGGAATTTGAACCCAGGGTTCTCTGGGTTCTCCATAACTAGTACTCTAGAGGTGGTTAGCTTCATCGGTGGCTTCTATTATGGTTGTAAAGAGCTCACAGTCACAGGTTTGGAAACACAAGGTCAGCTGTAAATGAATTGTTGTTGGTTAATCCATAAGTATTGAGTACTTATGTTGTGGTTAACATAGCAGAGGGTACATAAGTGTAGGGCAAAATTAGCATACTAATTCACAGCCAAGGCAATCAAATAAATACTCAGTTGCATATTTACTGACTATATATCCTGTGGGAGGCCAGAGTTGGGGCACATCAGAACAGGTAAGACTTCACTGAGATGGGTAGAATTCTGAGTCTTGAAGGACAAAGATTTGGGCAGTAAATACAAGATGGCATTCATTCTAGGGAACAGGAACAGCAGCCATATAAGACATGTGTATTTGTTTTGCCCAGAGTTCTGCTTATAGAGAGTATGAAAGGCAGCAGGGTGTAATAGAGTGCTGGACTTTAACTTGATTTCAAATCCCTCTTCAGACACTTAGAGACTGGGTGCCGTTGGACAGCTAGCTCATTTGACCTCTTTAGTCTTAGTTCCTCATCTGTCAAATGAGAGTAGTTAGAGTAATTGGCCTCTCAAGTCCCTTCCCAGATAGAAATCTACCATGCTGTGTTTGTGTGTATATCCCCTGTGTTTGCACAATGTACATGCCTAATAAATGTTTATCGAATTGTATGTGGAGTTATGGGGTGAAGGATTTTCTGTGTTAGTAACAATCACCCTTCCTTTCATTTATTGAGCCTAGAAAGGGAATGGAACTAGGGACTTAAACTTTGTGGAAGTAGAACTCTAGTGATGGTACCACCCCTGTAATGTTAGTTTTCCTTGGTACCATTTGCTTCTGAAACCCAGTATAGAGGCACATTTGCCAATTAACTTTCTTCAGAAAAAACCCCAAAACTTTTATAGCTACAGACTGCATCCCTAACTTTCAGGGAACTAAATGAGAAAATGTGAGTAGCTCGGAACAAATGCATAGTTATTACTGTGGCTAGAAATAAAGTCTTAAGTTAAGTAGCATCATATTTGTATGAAGAGCCCATATTTCTGCCCAAGTGAGATTTCATTTTGAAAATAAAACCTTGCATCTACAAATCTGTATCAAAGTCAGTCTAATAGACTCAACTGAGAAATTAAGGTGAAATATGCGATATGCATGGAAAAATAAATGAATAGTGCTTAAGAAATACTAAACTAGTCTTTCCTAGTTTAAATCAACTTAATCATTTAACAGGTGTTAAATACCCACAACACACTAGATGCTATACTGAAATCAGATGGCTACAACCTTTGTGATATACCAATAAATGCCAAGGTTCCTCTGAAGAGCCAATGTTGCCATTTTCTGCTTTTTTATACACATCATTTCGTTGTCAAAAAATCTTTACTCAAGAAAAAAATTTGCAAACTTGCTAGATCACTTAGTATATAATTATTAGAAACAATTATGTTATCCTTAAATGGTTAGTCATTTTAAAAGTTAGCTATAATTTTTGATAGCATTTCTTAATTAGTATTGTAAGGTTAATAGATCTATCTTGGATATCTTACCAGCACTGGACAGCTGCCAGCTACTATCCATAACACTTTCAGGCGGATGTTTTGATAAAGCATATGTATATATGCATATATTCTTCCAAAGGTGATTGAAAAAAATCAATTAAAAAAGTCATAATGCATAGACATATTAAAATATTAAAAAGCTGGATAATTTATATAGCATGCATAAATACTGAAAGACAAAATAACCACAAAAATGTATGTGACCTAGCTCTCAGAAAAATTAATGCTTGTTCTAGAGTGATTGTTGATTTGGCCTACAGTTACTACAGAAACTCTGAGGGCTTGTTCCCTTTATAGTTCATGTCTAGGCATGTCTGGAGACCAGGGAGACCTATAATTTAATCTAAGTAAGAATGCTTGTAGTGTTTTAGATGACCAAACAGAATAATGCAATTTGTTTTAGACATCACCAGGACAGGACTTTTCTGTGAAACTGTTTAGTCTTTTGGTTTAGATTGTCTATATGGGTCAGTTTAGAAGCGGGGAGTGGGGGCGGCAGATTTTGGTTGAAGATGAGGGAAGGCAAGAAGACATAAGAAAGCACATCTATCTTTAGTTTCAGTAAATTGTTTTTAGCCCTGTTTTCCTGTTCTGGAATCAGAGACCATGGTGATATGGGGATTTCTCAATAGATTTATAAAATTCTTGTCATCCCTCAACCGAAGAGAGTAACAAGTGGAAGTTGTTTTTCTTCTTCTGTGTAGCTTTGGAAGGGATATTGGATTCACCCTTTGGAGTCAGAAGAGAAGAATCAAACTGATTACAAATTATTAGATGGTGCAGTTTCTTTTAGGTCTGCCAGATTTTAAGGAAAAACAAAATACATAGTTTCTCTCAGGGAATTTAAAATCTCCAGGATTTTGTTTCACATGTATGTCTAATAAATGCTATAGTATTCTTAGGTATGCATGATCATTAGACTTCATGATGCTGCATATGGGAATTTCTTTATGCCAAAGGCAAATTGAAGTCAACATTAGTGCCTTTTAAGACCTAAAAATCAATGAATCTGTCTAATTATGAAAAGCTATTTCCTTTCTAACTAAAATGGAGTGCTAGCAAGTTTTATAACTACATACTTTTAGCTTCTATTTCATTTTATTCTCATTAGTTGAAGTGCTCTAGATTCTTAAAGTGGTCTCTTATTTAAAATATTCTCTAGATAATACTATTGCTTTCAATCCCAAACTAATGAATTTATCTTTTAAATAAGTCAAAGATAACCTAACCAAATAGGAAAAGTGAAGTATTTAAAGCTGAAAACAACTTAGTTATGGATTTCATAACAAAAATTTTTGAGTGCCTTCTACAGGGTTGGCTGGTGATACAAAGAGATATGAGATACAATCCCTGCCCTGAAGGGGTTTACAATCTAGTTAGGGAGACAGAATATACATACAAAAGACAAGAATACAAGGTAGCAGATGGTGAGTGCCAGGTAAGTGGTTCAGACAATAAAATTCTTGCATGTTTTTTAATGATATTAATTATCTGGCTCAGTTCTCTTTTCCACCCCATCATCCACTGTGTTGTCAATGTACATAATGACATGCCATTGTAATACTCTGAGATCACAGTTCTCTCATGTACTTTTATGACCTTTGTATCTACTCCAGCCACTCACAAGCAGGGCCACATCTTGGATCTTGTCATAACTTATAACTATTGTTCAACCTTAAGATCTCCAACTTTGACATTTTCCTCTCTGATCCCATCATTACATATATCCTCCCTTTTATCCATCCTATTTTTCATCTTCATCCACCATCCCTTTCTAGGTTTGTTTCCCTGAGTACCCTAGACCACATTATAAACCACTTCAATAAATGCTGTCATCAGCACTCTAGAATTCCTTGTCCTTTTGTCCTTCTACCACACCTGCATTGCCATTTCCTAACCCTGGGAAAATTCTCCTGCCTCTTGTTATGTTTCTCTGTTCTCCAAGTGCCAAATGTTGATGAAGAAAAATCACAAGATCTGGCTAATTGCCTCCACTACAACTTTATGCTATCTAACGTCAGCTCAGCTATCACTCCTGCTCAGCAATCCTTATAGTTTAGTTGGCTTCCTATCTCATTCCTCTCATTCTGGTTGACTCCCTCCTCTATTATCTACAGCAGATGTTTCATACTTTTTATTCAGGCAGTATTCTCATTCTTAATTCTTTCATTCTTTGTGGATAGCTTTGACTTCTACTTTAATGAGAAGATTGTAATCTCCTGGCTATATACATATGTGTGTGTGTGTGTATATATATATATATACATATATATATATATACATATATATATATATATGTATATATATATATATTTTTTTTTAATCAAGAAAACTTTTTGATTTTCTAGCTCAAAAATTTATTTTTATATCTTTACCTAACCTCTCCACCTTCAGGAAGTATTCTTACTTTCCAAAACTAGCTCTTTCACTTAGGTCTTCTATATCTTCTACTTCTGCCAAGTTGTTCCATTGATTATATTCTCTTTTCTACACCTTCAATCACTCCCTTTCCATTGGCTTCCTTCTCCCCTGCTCAAACCTCTCTCATCTTAAATACATAGAACAAAACCAAAACCTTCTTCAACCCATGTGGAGTAGGTCCATTAATCTCCTTTCCTTCAGTATCAAACTTTAATATGTATTCATATATAAATCTATATATCTCCATAATATGTAATTTAATTTCTATTGATTATATCCAGGATATAATCAAGTACATAAGAAAAGAAAATAGACACAAGAATGAAAGATGAAACTAAAATTCCTAATAAATTATAAATGATTTTACTACAAGTGTCTATTTTCTATAAACTTCTGTTGTTCACCCTATGCCCAAAGGTGTGTATATTGTACTTGTTTTCATAATCTTTGACCGCCTTTTTTGGGTACGTAACATGGATTTTTTTTGTTGCCATTGTTGTCTTTCTTTATATAGTTGTAGTCAACATATGTTCTTTTGCTCATTTTCTTTATTTTAGATGATTTTATATAATTGTATTTCTTTGAATTTTTTTTATGTGGCACAATAATAGGATAATTTGATTATAGATTTAGAGCTGGAAAGAATTTCAGAAGTCACCTGGTCCAACCTCCTAGTTTACATATGAGAAAACTGAGGCCCAAGAAGTTGAGCAATTCTGCCATAATTTGTTCAGCCATTCTCTGATCAATGGACATGTAGTCTGTTTTAAATTTTTTGATATTGCCGTTAGGAATAGTTTTATCCAGTAGGTTTTTTTTCTGTCAACATCCTAGTAGTAGTAGTAGGGGAACGATTGGGTCAAATAGTATGAACATTAAAAGCCATATAATTCCATACTTCTTTAAAATGTACAAATTTATAATTTTATCAACAGTATAATAGCATTCCAATTTTACTATGGCCACACCACCATTTAATTTTATTATTTTTATTGCCTTTGCCAATTTGTGGTTGTTAGCTAGAATCTCAGGAATTTTTTAAAAATTGTAGTTTTTTGTGTCAAAGATTTTGAATATTTGTAATGTGACTGTTGATGGTTTGTTTTTATTCCTTTGAAAACTTCTTGTTTATATCCTTTGATTGCCAGACTTATTTTAAAAAATAGCTTGCACCCCCTACTTCTTAGTCATAACACTCATTTCTCATCTGCTAGTGGTCTAGCAAACCTAGCTAGTGGTCTTCTGCTTTCATGTCTGTACTCCAACTACTATTGAAGATCACTATTTACTTCTTGGCAACAAATCCAGACTTCCTTTTTTAATCCTCAACCTTTTAAGCTGTCTCTGGGATTTGACACTAGATTTTCACCTCCTTTTGCCTTCTATGAGACTAAATTATCTAACCTCTTTAGCATTCTTTTTGTTTCCTCTTTGTTTTCCAATCCATAAATGTAGGCATTCACCAAGGTTCTGTCTTCAGTTCTCATCTCTTTTCTACACACACAGTCTCTTGGTAATCTTAGCTAGTGCCATTACTTAAATTATCACCTTTATATGGATTACTTCCAAATCTATACCTACAGTTCTGATCCATTTCTTGAATGTGTCTACAGACCCAGAAGTCCAGTTGACATCTAGCTATCTTCCCTGGATCTCAAATATAGCATTACCAAATGCTAATAAACTCATCACCTTTCCTGCCAAATTTGCTTTTGCTATCTTCCCTAATTTCATAAATGACTTCATTCTTCCAGTAGCAAATGAAACCTTGGAGTCATCTTTCCCTTCTTTTCTCTTATCCCTGTCACATCCCATTAGAACTCATCATTGGTTGGAGTACTCACATTGATGAAATTATAGATCTTTTGAAATACTGAACTAAACCTTTGTTTAGGATAGCATATCTTATATAAAAAAAGGGATTTCTGGAGATCTTAGAACTATAGAATTACAATGTTGGAAATGACCTTGGAGTCATCTAGAAGTTCATAGACATAAAATTGGAAAGGACCTTAAAGGTCATCTAATTCAGCCCCTTCATTTCTGAGGTGAGGAAACTGAGGGTCAGAGTGGGAGAACTAACCTAACTAGAAGACAAACTTGGGGTTGCATAAGAGGAATCTCTTATCCAAATACCCACTATGATCTGAGATGACTAATTCGTCTCCAAAGGGTAAAATACAATTAAAGGCCCAAACAAAATTTTCTTACTGCTCTTTAAGTTCATAAGTTGATTAGGGGAATCTTTGTGATCAATCCCTCTGTTCCTAATTTAGTTCAGTCCCTGTGACATGGTATTTATACCCTTCACTCTCCTAGTCATTCTCCTCTAGATAAACTATAGTTTATCAATGTTTCTTTTAAAATGTGGTGGCTAGAACTAAATACAATATTCCAGATATAGTCTGACTAGACAAAAGGGCTGTATTACCTAGATATAGTACTTACATGAATGTTGCCCAAGATTGCTTCACTCTAATTGAAGGAATGGATCTCTAATAGTGGTAATTCCAGGCACTATTGGTGGGCTGGCAGGAGAGGTCTTTCTGGGCCAGGGAATCTTTCATTGGTACACTTTAAATCACATTAAATACAGGACATGTCTATTTAACCTATTTGAAAGCCTGGCCCCAAATGAAGAATTCTCACCATCAAAACAGAATATATTTGCTATTTATTTGTAGGTGGTACTTTAAGTAATATTTTAATTCTGCGTAAGGAAATGAACAAAAGGAAGCATTGAAGGAAGATTTGTTTTGTTTGATTGTTCCTTAGTGGAATCTAGGCGCATTATTATTCTGCTGTTCTATTTTGCAAGTTCCAAGACTTGCCTGGGCCTGTTGCAGAAAATAATACCACGGGAAAGTTCAAAGTCTCATTAACCATTGTGCTTCACCGATCCAAAACTCAACAGTACAGTATTTCAAATGGGAAGTTGAAAGTGATAACAGAACTATTGGGGCCTGTCCTGTCGATCCTGTAAGTGCTTGCACTATCCATTTGAAAATGAGACTCCTATTTGCTCTTATACGTGTGAGCGTTCTCTAAAATGATGTGTATCACATGGGGTTGTGGCAATCAAGCCTACTCTCCTGTTCAGTTATAGATCCAGTTAATGATCCATTTTCAGTGTCTGTCCAACTTATATGTACTCATGGATGAGCTTTAAAAGTTGTCCATATAACTGCATGTTATAGTCTGGGCAATAGACATTATTTATCCAGTTAGGTTTGTTTTTTTTACCAATACAGATAGTTGCCTCAGGTTTACTTAATTTCTCCACTCTTAAGACAAGAGAATTTTTGCAAGAGACACAATTTATTCTAGGAAACCATTAGGAAATATGAAAAAATATTGGTATTAATTAGACATTAAAAGTTGTTATAATAGTCTTCATTAAACTAAGTGAATGGATAAATGATCAAAAGAATGAAATAAGTTTATATCCACCTAGGCAACCAGGAGAGAAATTCATTTCAATTCACACTTATTGAGTCACTCATTATATACCCAGGATATATACAAGTACATCTTTTTTGGTGTAGGACTGTAATAATAAAAGGTGCAATGCTACCATTATATTATTTCTACTGATAGCTTGCTAATGATGATAGTCCTTTTTACCCATGACTGCTCCAGGGAATTAATGCATCTTAAAAAACCTTAAAGGGACTAAGCAAGTATATATCTACCTGTTTGGGATATTTGGGAAACCTGTATTTGTATTTTGTTTGCTGGATTCTTTGTGATGCACATTTTAAAGTGTATCTAAGTATATGCATTATCCATTTGAAAAGGAGATACATGTTGTCTATAGTCCAGAAGAATTTTTAACATAAGCAAGTTTTCTCTTAGCACTATATAAAATCCACTTAATTTCCTCACTTTTAAGATAAGTTAAAAAGAAGTTTTGTAAGAGACAGGTAAATTTCTTTAGGATAGTGTTAGAAAAGATGAAAAATTATATGTATTAGCTGGAAAGTTAAAGAAATTAATACGGAATTTCTAAATGAAATTATTTTTAGCCTTTTGTTTATAGATAGTTTTCTGTATCATAGACTAATTATACTGTCTTGGCTTTATAGCCTGAATTTCTTTTGAAGAGTTCAAATAATTTTTATATGAAGATATGAGATTTAAATAGGGGAGTGCTGATAAATGTTTAACAACTGGCTCTCCCACTAAAATGTATTCATGACAGATTTTTAAGTTTAATCTCATTATTAACATTTAAAAAAAACCCTTTTTAAAAAAGTCTAGACAATGACAGTAACTCAAACTTTGGTTTGTAGTGTATGCCTATTTTTGAGGTGTAAATGCTCACACTGAAAATTTAACCATCAGCTCTCAAAGAGCTATTTCAAGCTAGGTCCAGCATATCCCTGGGAAGACAAAATGAAGTCATAGAAAGCTTAAGGCAAATATTGCCCAAGATTACAGGCAAAAAGCAGAGCCAAGCCCTTGACTCCTGACTCTACATTGACAAAAAACAATTTGATCACATAAAATATTTTGAAAAATTTTTGTGGTTATGAAAAAATACTTTAAATAGACATTTTTCTCATATTTTCTCTAATTATGGTATACAAAACCCCAAATTAAATGTTGAGTTAATTTTAAATCGCTTTATAAAATCAAATTACTTTAACTCACATAAAGTGGCTCGAATCTTTCTAGTCTTGAGACTGGACCCTAGTTTGTAAGTTGACTGAAATCTTAGATTCTAACTGTACCTCTGATGCTTTTAGTATTTTTTTTAAAAAGATAACTGAGGGGGCAGCTAGGTGGTACACAGGAAAGAGCTCCAGCCTTGGAGTCAGAAGGACCTGAGTTCAAATCTGCCTTAGACCAGACACTTGATACTTACTAGTTGTGTGACCCTTGGAAAGTCACTTAACCCCAATTGCCCCACCAAAAAAGCAAAAAAAAAAGATAATTGAATTAAAAGTAATGATTAATGGAGGGAGAGGGAAGCCACTAGGTATTTGATGAACTGTCGTTCTATGAATAATTGTTGTTGTTCAGTTCTGTCTGACTCTGCCACATTGTGGACCATAGCATATCCGTGGTTTTTTCTTGACAAAGATACTTTTTTAAAAATTATTTTTGCTATTTTCTATATTTCCTATTTTTGCTGTTTTCTTCTTCAGTGGATTAAGGCAAACAGAGATTAAGTGACTTGACTGGGGTCAAACAATTAATGTCTGAAGTCAAGTTTGAACTCAGGTCTTCCTGACTTCAGGCCTTGCACTTAATCCACTGAACCACCTAACTGCCTCTCTTATGAATATAAGCAGTTTATAATTCTACCTCATTCTTCTGAATATTCTATATACAAACATTTTAGAAAAAGCGCATAGTCAGAATAAAGTCTACTTACAAAATTTTGCCTTGAGAACAAAAAAAAAGTAATCAGTTTACTTAAAATTTTAATACTTCAATGAATGCATGATTTTCTAGGTGCAGTTACTCTTTCCCATGGTATAGATCATATCTCATCTATACCTTCTTATCCATATCATCCTATAAATCCTCCATAAAAGATCTCTACCTAGTGCTTTGGAGGCATTTTTCTAGGTCTCATAACACTATAGTGATGACAATGCATCATTAATGTACAATATTTAAAATGTAAAATAGAGATTGAATTATTAAAATGTCAAAAATAATTAAGATATGGACATAGGAGTTTTGATCCATAATTAATGTAACAAAACAATAGAAATTCTATAAGATAGTATAAAATGTGAATTTTGTTTGTAATTTTTTATATTTTAATTAGTGTAAAGATTCTTTATATAGTGATTAGATAATTATGCTCTATATAAACTGACAGTGTTCTAGAAGCAGTCATTTCAGTTAGCCTGATGGATAGCACCTGTTCATTGTATTAAACACCCAACAGCCTTTGGGATTTTGGGGTTTTATAAACCTCATCCTAATTGTAAGTGGATTAGGTGTGGGGAAGAGGTTGAAATTACGAACTCAAGTATGCTAACTCCTTATAAACCCTTCCCTGCTTCATATTGGTAGATAAAATGGATTTTTTTTTGTGGGGTAGCAAGAATATCATATGTTTGAGTAGTTTAACTAGATTTTCTAATGTCTCTCTTGGAGATCTGAAATGTGTTTTTTTTCTCCCAAAACTTAAAAGAAATGATGCTTGCTGTCATATAACATATTCATATCTTATCAAAATTGTACCTATGATTGTGTGATTATAATGCTTCCTATCTGTTTCTTGTGTACACCAAAGTTTAAACAAATACTACTGTGTTAGTATATGTTTTCCTCAAAGAATTCTCAAAACCACTTTGTAGAGGTGTAGGTATTTTTGGCTAAGTTTTTGTTGATCAAAATAGTATGCTTGGTTACCTCTTTAAGGAGTTTAACTCTAAATATCAGCTTTCTCTTAGCCTAAAACTTAGACGAGTTATGTGGTAAGTAGATATTGATGGTATGTTCAACCCTTGCTATTTAATTTCTTATTGTTCTTTCTCAGTGATTTGAAGACATCTTTAGATCTCCCTTTTTAAAAATGAAAGATGAAATTGCCACAACAATTTTCTTCATCACAAGACTGGTGAAAAAATCTGATAAGTTGAGTAAGCACCAAATAGAAGAATTTGCAGCTAAGCTGATGGCAATACTATTTGAGACATACAGGACACACTGGTACCCAGATATCCCTTCTAAAGGTCAAGCTTTCAGGTGAGACCTGTTATGCTGTATGGCAAAGAAAACTAACAAATAGCTATGCTAGGAAAGTACTCAGATTGAAGATTCTGAATTTCTACTAATCTTTCCTCTCCCACTTTATGATTATTGTTATTTGCCTATAATGGGGCCAAATATTTGAATATCGGGGGAAGGGAGGAATGTACAGTTTAACAATTAGTTCTTACTAGTCAAAGTGAGCTGGCCCCGGCATACCCTTGTGCTCAATAGAAAACAAGTTGGAGGGAAAATTTGTTAGAGAGGGACCTTTACTCTGTACTTACAGCAAAACACATAGAATTTGTTAGAATTTATAAAGTTTAGGTTCTGGGTCTCTAAAGAAAATTTGGTAAAGGAGACTTCATATTTTTTCAGCTGCAAAATAAAAGAAAGTTCTCTAAAAGAGCCTTCCCTTTCACAAGTTGCTCCCTTCCCTAGCTGCAAAAAAGAAGGAAAATGTAACATGCTTATGATCCAGATATCTTTGCAAAAAGTTAAGTAGTTGTGCCCTTATTTTTGCCTCTTCTCAACATTAGGTGTATCAGGATAAATAAACAACAGAAAAAAGATCCCCTTCTGGAGAGGGCATGTGCTGAAAGTAATGTGAATTTTTTTCACCTGGGACTTCCAAAGGAGATGACCATATGGGTAGATCCCTTTGAAGTATGCTGCAGGTAAGTGCTCTACCCAGAAACTAATGATGTATGTATATCTTGTATCTTTTAGTTGCCTCTTGAGGTAGCCTTCATGGAAGGTAGCTCCAGAAAGATCAAGACTCTTTCTTCCCCTAATCAAGGTATCATTCAGGTATCATAATCATCAAGATATCAAGACCATTAAGCCTTTAGCAGGTGTCTCAGTAGGTTTCTATCACATTCTTAATGCTGGTTTTTCTTAATAGAAAAATTGTTTTGATTATTTTCCTTTAATATTTGGTATGCTTTTAAAGTTCGAAAGGAAGTAGGGTGGGACATTTTGGTTGAACTATCATCCTTTGAAATTTTAGATTAAACTCTTATGAGCCAATGTCTTTACTTTTAACGGGCTTTCATTGGTTTGGGGAAGAAAGGGGAAGGTCAAGGGTATCATTAAATTTAGCGTCTGATTATTATGTTCTACTTCGGGATATGACCTTCAAGTAAATACTAAAGGCATTATCATAAGGGCATTCTATACCAAAGAATCAACTAAGTCTACTAGCTGAACCAAAAGAAAATACATTTTCTTTTCTTTATTTCCAGTTAAGGGGTGGGGTGTGTGTGTGTGGGAGGTTAGCTTCACTTAAAGCCTCCTATTATTGTTTATAATATTACAATAGTCTGAGTCAGAGAGTACCCCAATAACAGCCTTTTTGCCTGTTCCTTCCATTCTTGTATCTGTCGTTTGAATCAGACTTTCTTCAAGTGATGAAGTAGACTCTGTCTCACTCTACTCCCCAGAAAATGCTTGAGTTTACTTAGAAAGACAGAGAAAGAGGCGAGGGGTTCATAGTTGTAGTTTTTAGAAATAAAGAGAACCTTAATTCAAGTTCTTGTTTTAAAGTTTTATATCCATTTTCTATTTAGATATGGTGAGAAAAATCATCCATTTATAGTTGCTTGTTTTAAAGGCATGCAGGAAGAATGGGAAATATCTCAACAGATCAGTCATGCTGTTAGTAAAGTCACATCTGACTACTATTCTGGCACTTCCTCTGATGAGGATACATGTGGCAGAGAGCCTCAAGTAATTCCTAAAGTCAAAAATCCAAAAAGCATTTATCAGGTAAGATATAACTAAACTGCTCTGGATGGGAGGGATGTTTTGTTTATCCTCATGTCCCAGTTAATCAGTTTGTGCTTAGCTCCAAGACCTGATTGGTCTGTTTCTAGAATGCTGAGTCTTTGCATTCTTTCTCAGGTTGAGTATTTCAAGCAGCCCCTCCAAACTTGGTTCCAATATTCCCGTAAAAAGAATATGACTGATGGGCGCCCCAACCTCCCAGGAAGTACTTTTTATGTCCCATACAAGATCCACAAGTGCTACAGGCCTGCTGCTGTGTTTCCAGGACCCCGGGTGGATAGGTACCACTGGGTCAACACAAATCGACAAAGTAGCTAAAGTATACAATTCAACTGATCTCGCTGTGGGATTAGAGTTCACAAGAGCAGCTTTCTTTTTTCCTAACTTAAAATGAGTCTGAAGTTGAGAGACACCTGAAATAGAAAAAAGAACCTCACTTGGGGCCAAGGTACTTGATGGTGATTCTTCTCACCTGTATTATGACTCTATTCTTAGCTAGAATTATAATGTTTCACTTTTAAATGAAGTTTTATGTGTAATGGATGTACTCAAAAAGGTAATATAATGAAGTTACTGATTTATAAGATTCTACTGATTATAAAAAGTAACAATAAACTTCACTATGTTTTTAACACCAGTGTCTGCTTTACTTTGATTCTCCCTCATCCTGACATAGTCCATCGTCCCTATCTGGTTTTACTTGTCAGATTCCATGAGGGTCAGACCTTTCAACAACTTGTTTTCACCAGCACCTGAGAAAAATTTGACTTTTTGATGTGCATACTTTGCTAATCTAAAATGAATAACCATAGTTCCATTCTTCTCCATTATAACATTCAACTAACTTCACCTACTTCCTTTTGTTAGGAAGAAGCATTTTCCCTACCTGTTACTAAACCTTTTACCCAGGCTGCCTGCTCTGAGCTCTTAATCTTGAGGATGTGAGAGGAAAAGATGCCAGAGCACTCTTCTACCTATAAACATGCTTCTGTAAACCCTGATACCCCTCAAATTATTATTTTGCTTTTTTTCTTGCTCTCATCTTTAGATTTCTAGAAGGTTCTGTGGTTCTCTCCTCTTTTTATGGGGGATGGGCATAATCTGGACCAATAACTTTATTGGTAGAGGAGAATCCCTCTACTAATGAAGATCTGTAACTGTTCTGCAGTTTATAACCTAAGGGTGTATGAGGCACTGAGGTTGTGACTTGACTAGTCACATGGCCAATGTGTCAGAAGCCAGACTTAATTCAGCTTATATTCTTACTAGTATATTAGAACTGGTCTTTTGATGATTACTAATGACAACCTAATCTTTAAATTGGCTTTTTAAAAACAGGTGTATCTTGATTTCTCTGCAATATTTGACATTGATCACTCAACCATTCTGTGCCTCAGTTTCTTTGTCTGTAAAATGGTAAGGTTGGACTTGATGGCCTCTAATAAGGGTCCTTTCTAGCTCTAGATCTGTGATCCTATGCAACTCTTTTCCCTTAGCTTTTGGAACACTAAAATCCTAGCTCTCTTCCACCTTTGATTATTTTCTCCTCTTTTTATTTCCTCTTCCTACTCCTTAAATATAACCATTTACTGAGATCCTATGCATCTGTAGACAACTTTAATGGTTATTTCTTTGTCAATTGTCATCTTTTTCTATATAAAGTCCTAAGATCTAGAACAACATTCCCAGCATCCTAGTGCACTAACAAGTTCAAAATTGAGCTAATTTTCTACCAGAAATCAATTCTTACTCCTGAATTCCTGGTTCCTATTGGCTGGTATCACTATCCATGTCACTTAGGAGTAATCAATAACTTAGTTTTGTCTTAGCATTACATAGCTAGTCACAAAGACTTACTTTTTCCCTCTCTAATCTCCTTGAAGTTTCTTTCCTTCTTTTCATTTCTAACACTGGTTCAGGTGCTTGATGATTTTTTCTTTATTCTTTATTCTGAAATTGTTTGGAGGGGGGAAGGTTGGGACTAGGGAACACTTTCTAAGCATGCATTGGACTGAACAGAGGAAAGGATAGGGTTTTAAGGGGTGGGGTGGGCATAAGGTGAACTAGAGAATAGGAAGACAAGTTAGCCTTTTGAGGCTAATCTGTCATCTCATTACCCCTCCTTCTAATATAATAGGAATCCTAAGACACAGTTTTGATCACCTCTTACATCCCAACCACCCTTTTTAACCTTGGAATTTCTTCTTATACCACTGCCCTCTCCCCACCACCTTGAGGTTCTAGTCAAAATGGATTACGTGTTTTTCTTTAAAAATGTCCTGTACTTTTTGGCCTTGGTGCTTTTATTCACACCTAGTATTAGTAGGAAATTTTTTTTCTCATTGATGAAATAAAGGACTTGGCAATCTCATCCTTATTAGAAAGGAGCTTATTTTGCTTGATAGAGATTATTCCTCTTCCTTCGGCTCCTCACAAATCCCTATACCTGGAAATCATCAGGCTAGCCAAAGATTTATTTCCTTTTTAAAAATTACATTGGTGACGGTCCTACTACATGCAGGATTTGTATCACCAGATATGTATATCTCCTCCCTTATTATAAAATAATTTGTTTTTTCATGTGTAATTGGTCATATGTATAATCATATGTAAAGACATACCAATTTTTCCCCATCTCTGACAGGGCAAGAATGTGGTATAAAGTCAGCTTTCTAGGTACTTTGGGATGCCTGTGATTTCATCAATGTAGATACTCCTGTTGCCAATGTTAATCATAAACTTCTTTTATGTCCTTTCATCCTGAATTGTTCTTGTTTGTGTTTTCTCATAAATCCATTATGGAAGATATTTAATAGATACTCAGTGTCCTAAAGAATACTTCTACCATTTGCCCCTCTCTTTTTAAATTTTTTTGAAGTTTCCAATGATAAGGTTCCCTATCAGTATTTGCTATTCTTACTAGACATCTAACCAACCCCTTTTCTGGTCATACATTTCCTTGATAGTTGCTTTTGATGCTAATTACCTGCAAGTTATTGGTAATATGCTATAGTTTGTTCAAAGCCACCATGCTGTTGCTACCATCTTTGTGTTGACTATTGGGTTATTTGTAATTTTAGGATTTTTTGAGATCCTGTTATATTCCTACAAACTATGAAATACTACATCAAGGGAATCATAATATTAAAGAGATTGGCTTTTCAGTAGTCTCCAGTTTGGGATCCTATGTATTTAGAAAATCACATAGTATTTTAAATGATTCTAGTCTTCCATCTCAATTCTAGACCTAGGTTACTGTATTATCTGCCCCCAGCTGTACAAGAAATACATATTGATGGTTTATTTTGACAGGTTGTGCACTTGCTTGTCATAGTATAGCCTGAAAAAATAAAATGGATTAAAAATGCAAAATGGATGACTAGGCCAATCTGTTTTTTACTGCTGTGGAATTCACTGAGGGGCTCCATAGTGTTCTAAGGTGTGAAGTGGTTGGTTTGATGTCATTTGCAAAAAACATTTGAAGAGCCTTGCTATCAGTAGAGAATCTATATTTTGTTTAAATTTTTATGCAATACATCTTAAATAATAGCTCATATTTATATTGTTCTTTAACATGCACAAAGTGATTTACATGTGCTAACTCATCTGATCTTCACAACAAACCTGTGAGGTTAAGTGCCAATGTTATTTGTATTTAATTGTCACCTATAGTCCAGGAGGAAGAGCCCATTTCCACAAAAGAGGATTAGCTCTGGGCTCAAACAGATCCTAGTTCATTCCTGGGAAAGTCTGACTGCAAAGAAGGGAGTGAGACTTTTTTTTTTTTAACTCTATCTCATTCTATTTTTTCACTTGAATTTCTTGGAAAATACTTTAAAGCTTCTGTATGGCTCATGTCTAGGGTTTCCCTTAAAAGGGCTGAAAAAGGTAGTAGATGTCAGATATAAGACAGCTATTTATTTCCTATACTACAAAATGAATTCTTAAAGCACCAGACTCATAAACATTAGCAAAAGCTTAAAACATGAAATATTATGTGGGACTACTGAACAGGTATTTTCATTTTCACCACTGACCTATACTTCCCATCCAACTCACAAGTCTGAAACTTTTGACAAACTAGGCCATGAATTGGGCTTTATTTAGCCATTTAGATGAAGAATCCTTCTGGTGGCTGTACTCTTTTCCTCTGAAAAGTTCTACAGTTATAGGAATCACTCCCTCTGGCAGCCAGCCCCTGATTCCAGAACTCTTGAATTTTTGAACCCATAAGGAAATTTCTAAGGCCAGAAACCACCATTTTAGGATTACTATTTGTTTACCTGCACTAAGGGAAAGGAACACAAAGCAGAAGTGGTAGCTAGGGACTTGAAGACTAGTCTCAAGCAAGCATATATTTTAGCTTCCATTTGTGTATAGTTTCCATAGCTGCTTTGGAAAGGTGGAGGAGAAGGGACCCTCCCCCCAAAAAAACCTCAAAAAAACCCCAAAAGCCCTTTTCACTGTTGGGAAGCCAAGGGAGAGCTGGCAGAGTCCCAAGTAATGTGCTGAAAAGAGGAAGAGAGGAGGTTGTTTTTCCTCATTTCCTCTTATAGTCTACTGAGTAGGTGGTTCTTCCTGGCTCCATTGCCAATCATCTTTGACATAGTCCCACAGTCACCATGACAAGTATGTAATTGCTACATTATCCCAAAGCATACCTATGATCCATTGAAAATGGTCAGCTATAGGCCCATCCCCATATATATTCTGTTTACCATATACAGATAAGAAAATGGCCTCAGAAAGGTTAAAAGACTCCCCACAGGGTCACACAGCTAGTAAATGTCTGAGGCAATATTTAAATCTGACTCAGGGTCCTGAATTATCCATTTAATCATCTGACCTCTTTTTGTCCCCTGGAGCTGTATTGAAATCAGGAAGATCTGGATTCAAATTTAACCTTAGACATTTACTCGCTGTATGACTTCAATCAATACTTAGCAGCTTGTTTAACAAAAGTTATCTATTTGGTTGTATCTGTCATAGTGTTTTATGATTTTGACATATATACATACACACACACACACACACACACACACACACACATATATATATATATATATACATATATATATATATATATGTATATGAGATACTTTGTATGAGGAGAGCCTTCAAGGTATTTTCTGTATTAGTTTATTGATTTTTTTAAGAACCAAAGTGATTTTTATTCCATAAATTAACCCATTTATTGTTGGACTATGGGCTACAGATATTTGATAAGATTTTATTGGTTTTTCAATTCCTTCAGTCTTCTGATGGCAGATTTGACTGTGACTGCAGAGGTGGTATTGTAGGTTCATGCACCACCAGCTACTGTCTTCATACAGGATCCACAATGCCAGATACCCACAGCTCGTGTCTTTATTTTGGTCTTGCCACAGAAAGAGCAGGTGTACTTGGCATGCTGGTTAATTTCAATTTTCTTCACCACTTTTCTGAGGGATCCACCATAATGTGTTCCATATTTACCAACAATTCTGACCTTCTTGGTGTGTTTAGCCATGTTGCCAGTTGTGGGGCTGGAGCTCAGAGAGGTATTTATTAATTTTTTAAAAAATCTTTTCTATATCTCTTCCAGTTGTGTGACAAGAAA